ATCCGGACCAACATGTTAATCATCCCCTCCCTCCCCTGTTTCAAAAGCTCATTCACAATTCCATCAGCCCCTGCCGCTTTTCTATTCCTGAGTTTCGCTACGCAGTCCTCTACCTCTTCTCGTGTGAACTCTCCCTGCAACCCGTCTATATCACTACGTTCCCTCGGAGATCTTTCAACGTTTTCCTCTGCCCACGAGTTGATTTCCTTCTCAAACTCCGAGTCGAAGTTGTCGTTGGTGGTGGGTGTCCCAAGTTTGCGGTAGTGCTCTATTAGTACTTCCCGCTTTCCTTTAGAACTGCTTACCATCTTACCCTCGGCAGATCTTAGTGTCGTTATTTCCGTGTCTCCCCCTCTTTTCTTGCCCACTATCCCTTGAATTCCTACCCACATTTGTTTCATCCCCCCCTCAAAATCTTCGTTAGTCTTTTGGACTACTTCCTCCCACAACCCTTTCTTCTTCTTCACGACCAATTCCTTCACCCTCTTTCTACTTTCAACATACTCCTTCCATCCTGCATCTGTTTTCCCTGCCGCATATTTTGCGTGTGACTCTCTACGTACTCGAATTGCTTGCTTGATTTCTTCGTCCCACCACTTCACTGCTCTCTTACAAACTATCAACTTTCTACCTAGAACTCTACTTGCTGTTGGGTTTACCAGCTCTTCCCACCCTTCTATGATTCTAGACCCGGCCTGGTCCCGGCCTTCGGCATCCTTCGGTGTGCCCATTGCCTCTATCAACTCCGAGAGTTTCTTGTCGTTTATAGCTATCTCTTCTTGGAACTCTACACTCGTTTCTTCTACTTCTAGCTTATCTATTCTCCATCTGTATATTTTCCTGCGTCGCCTACTCTGTATGACTCTCGTCTGTTGTAGGGCTGTCCACACCAACGCGTGGTCTGTAGTGCCTACATCCGTTGTGCATACTCGTACTTCTGTCTCTTTCCCCCCATTCTCTACGACTATATAGTCAAGGATGGAGCGTTCTCCTTTTTTGAAACATTGCCTAGTCCATTCCGGTTCTGTCTTTCGTATTCTACCGTTCAACACCTTCATCTCGCTACTGTCAAGGAACCTCAGCATTTCTTCCCCGTTTTTGTTCGTGGCTCCCTCCCCGTATTGCCCTATGGCTCCGTGTGGGTTCGTGGTTCGCCCGATTCTTGAATTGAAGTCCCCCACTAGAACTACTTCTCCCTTTCTCTTTAAGTTTTGTACATCCGCTGCTACCTCCTCGAACCCTATCCTGATGTCCTTCACCATATTCTTCGACTCTGGTGGCATATATACGTTTCCTACGAACATGTCCTTCCTTCCCCGTTCCCCTGGTACCCTTATCCACATGCTTTCGTTGAATTTGGTGTCGCTGATCACCTCAATTACGTCGCACATGTGCTCCTTGACTAAGAATCCAACTCCCCCCTCCCCTCTACTCTTGATTTTCTGTCCTCTCCTCATTTTACCTATCCATGTGTAGCTTCCCACTTCTTTTCCTATCTCTCCCCCGTCCTTCTCCGACGACTCTTGGACTCCGACAATGTCCAGGTCTTTTTCGGCTGCTTGCTCGGCAATTTCGAGTCGTTTACGCTCATCTGTGGCAAATCCGCATACATTCCAAGACCCTATTCTGATTTCCTTACTCCTACTTTCTACTTTCCCGTGCCTTTCAGGATTCCTTCTGTCCCTCATTTGCCTTCCCTTCTGCCTTATCCTATCGCTGCCCCCCCCTTCCCCTACTTTGGCTTGCTTTCCCTTTTGACCCTTTCGGGCCTCCTGCCCCCCTTTGTTTTCAGCCAGCCTTGGGCTACGCCTTACTTCCTGGATCCTATTTGCTATGCACACCCTCCAACCTAGTCTCCTCACCCACGCCGACATCTTCTCTACTTCTAGTCTTTCCCATTCTGCGCTTACTCTCCTTCAAAACGTGATTCTAAAGTGGTTTCCTTCCCTTTCTACCCCCCCCCTTGCGAAGCAATATAATCCTACTTCTTCACATCTACTTTTGAACTCCAGCCTTGTCATGTCGCTATTGACCCCAAATATCAACACTACCAGTACTGCACCTTTCCATTCTCTCCTTCTCCACCCTTTGTGCCTCGTCCTCTCCCTCCCTATCTCTTTCGAGACTATCTCGTTCTTTGTGTTTGAAGTGGGATGCTTTCAAATTACTGGGACTTCCCAATCCTAGTACTTGTTGAGGGTCTGGTGTCTTTCAATTCTTTTGCCGGCTCACCGACACTAAAAAGTGCCTCCAACACGGGCTCATAGCCTGGAGCCAAGTTCAACACCCTTAGCACAAGTACCCCAAGTTTGTGCCAGGCGATCTGCATGGTAACCAACCCAAGCGTCCCACGACCGTTTCTTCTCTCAACTTGCCCCAGCTGCTGTACTGGGTACTTTCCTCCGGGGAGGTCATTTTCCCCATATAAGGTTCAAGGGTGGCTTGCATAACAGAAGGTCTCACTCACACATCGGGATGTCCGTCTCTTCCTTGATTTTTATGACATACAAACATAAAAATGTCCTCCTCGTAGACGCCAGAGAGCACTATCTTCCCTGATGGCGGTCTAAGTCGACCCAGGGTTGATAAATGAGTTACGGTCATCAACGTTTGTACGGTACACCATGGGTAGCTACCCCACTAACGCTCCCGAGTAGACCTTCGCTGCCGAAAGCTTGACCAACAATCCCCCCACATTTTGTACCGGCGTCTATCCTTCAAGCTTCAAGATATCTACGTACCGCTTGGTGCTCCTTCGCTTTTGGGTCATTTGGTCGGTCATTTGAAAACAAGGTTCTTGAGTATGTTAGGTCTGACATTTTGTCTTGCATTATCCACCCCTCTCCTTGCGGAGAATTTAGGATAGTGTCTGACCAGATTCCCACCGCCCAATGGGAACCGGTATTGTTTTACGGTTATCTCACCACGAGTCCCCAACCTTCATGTGCATCGCACATTTGACCAAAAGGATTGCTGTGTCTATATTTATGCTTCGTTTCCGTTTTCGTGTTGGTGTGTAAGGTGGCCAATAACCTTCTACTCTTGCTTACTTTTGCGTTTTCAACTGTGGGAAAAAAAAAAAGGTCAAAGCGTCTGGAAATGTATTTCGTTGGATTCAATTATTTCATATCTGGCTTGTCATGTTTGTGTTACGTTATGGAAAATAAAAAGTCGGTTAGGTCAATTATTTCATATCTGGCTTGTCAGGTTTGTGTTACAGTATGGGAAATAAAAAGTCGGTTAGTTCAGTTTTTCCATGTCTGGCTTGTCAGGTTCGTGTTACAGTATGGGAAAATAAAAGGTCGGTTAGTTCAGCTCTTTCATGTCTGGCTTGGCGGGTTTGTGTTACGGTATGGGAAAATAAAAATTTGGTTAGTTCAATTATTTCATGTCTAGGGGCTGGTGGCTTTTTTTTACAGCGTCGGTGCCACTCGACGCCAACCTATCTTTTTTTTTTGGGGGGGGGGGGCTTCGATCAGGACGAGCACTCGAGTCACGAGGGGTGTCGCGGCAAAGGGGAAACACGTATTGGTACAAAACTGCAACCACACACAACATCGCTCTATTCCTCACAACCTGAACGACGAGCGAACTGTGCAGCTCAAACCAACATGCCTGAGTGACAACGGTTTTCCGTTGTAGCCGGGATGTGCATGTACACTGCTCTAGCCAACACCTGATACAGCGCGCTCGCTCCCATCCGAAGTGTTCGTTGAAGGGCGAAAAACATCTGAGCAGCTGCTACCAGCGACGGGGCAAGCAACAGCCCCACTGAACAGGAACACTCTCGCCGCGTACGCGTATGCACATGTACGCACCAGCCCGCAGGTTGAAGATGGTCTGGCTGAAGATGTAGCTGCCCGTGAAGCCGCCGAACAGCCCCGAGATGACGTTGGACCACCCCACCTTGTGTTGCCATTTTCGTATGGAACGAGGAAACAAAGCGAACCACGCGCAAACGTCGATACAGACACACACACCCGAGCAAACGGGGGGATTCTCAAGACGGGAATACGAAGAACACAGCTACCCGCCCCCCCCCTCTCGACCCGTGTACCCCGACTCCTTGAGTTTATCGCACCGGACCTTGTGCGCAGGGGGGCTTCGAACTAGATATTGATCGCACCTATGCATAGTATTGCCCACCGGTTGGAATCGTGGCCAGGGGCTGTGAAAGAAACACATGCCCACCAAGGCCCGAATCAGCGGTGGCCGGCACGGGCGCCCGGCATATGTCGAACACAACACGAATAGAAATACCCTGAGAGATCGCAGCTCTACCGATCGCAGACCAAGAAAAAAGCCGGAAAACACGCTCAAACATAGACGCAAACCCTACTGGGACGAGCATCGCACCAAACGCAAAAACTACAGGAACACTCACTGAGAGCGTAGGCACACCCACGCAAGAACCCTCTGAAGAAAAACGAACCAGGGGGACTACGCCGAATCAGCGGCCCCCAACTCAACACGCCCAACAGACCATCATGCATTGTCTCTCTCTCTCTCTTGTTGGCAACTCGCCGTCTGCAGCTCCCCGTTGAAATCCAGCCGCTTGGCCATCTCCATCTCTATGGCAGCGACATCCAAGCAGCTTGAGAACGCAACAACCACGATCATGGCCAACAGGTTGGGTACAAGAGGGGGGATGCCCGCGCGCGGGGGGTATCGTCCATATATGCATAACCGTCTCGACCAAGTTTTCCCTGTTTGGGTGCGTACTCTCAACCAAGAACAGCCGTGCTCTTGGGGGTATCCGCACTCGTGGTAGATACCCTCATCTACAGTTCGCACCGGGCACAGTAGCAGCGCACGCTGTAAGCCGAGTCTGATAGCATGCACCTCAATGTTGTGTCTTTGGAGCGTGCGCTCTCGCCTCTTCTGGTGGTACTGCTTCGGATTCAAACTCAATTCAGAGGAAATATTTCGGAAAATCACCGAGCAACCGGTACTACTTGTAGATGGCTCTTTTGCACCGCAAGGTATTCTTGCTGGTAAGCTACAAGTATTGTCCCGCCAGAGCTGGCTCTATACAAAAAATACAAAGTTGGTGTTTTATACCCAAAACGAGCACAAAAAAGAAAGCCACCAATCGTCACGATAAACCAACGAATGACGAAGCCAAATACCCTTGGTAAATCCAGAAAAAAATTAAGACCGAAACCCAATCAAAGCACATCCTAACCCAACCCAACCCAACCCAACCCAACCCAACCCAAACAAACCTAAACCAAACCAACCCCCAAACAATCGCCACAAAACCACCACCCATCCGAGGACGTCTTACGGTTCCCGCGAAAGCCATTTAAGAGTTCGAGGAGAGAGTACGAAAAAATATAGACACGCCCGTTTGCGTCACTGGAAAACCAAAAGGCGGTCACGCGTATATACCAAAGGTAGACATCCACAGCGGAGGGACGTTTCCGCTTATGTGTGTGCCCCGGGTTGTACCTCTTTCATGAGCCAAATTCACTTCAACGGCAGGTAAGAAAAGCATCGGGGTTAAGGCAGAACAGCGAGTGAACCAGTTGCATCTGGCTGGACCCCGCCCCCCAAAAACGACACTCACCCTCACGAACGCTCCCCAATGGATGTCGGCGAAGGAAAAGTAGTCCCAGGCGTGATTGAGGGGGAGCATCGGGGACGCTGGGCTCACCCACCCGGCAGCTCTCGCCTCCTGCAGCAAAATGTGTTTTTCGTGATAAAACAGAAATGAAACGCAGCGGTGTACCGGCAGGGGGGCGGGGGATTGTTCATCCACAGGTGTAAGGTGTAAGTTTGGGGCAAACACCAATCACGCTGAAGCTCTGGGCACGGTACATAAATAAGAGGCCAGGAGGCACCGCTCAGTCGAACGTACAGCAGCAGCAGCAGCAGAAGCAGAGATTGGGCGAAATGTCCGCGATGTGGAGGAGGCCGAGGCGCGGCACACGCGTACACACAGAGAAGTTCGCCGGTGAAGCGCGGGAAAAACACAAATAGCTGGGAACGATAAATACGAACAAAAAACTGTGCGTGGTTAACCCCCTCGACGCTGGAACAACGTCAATGAATGGAAAAAAAAAAAACACTCGTCGAAAGTAACAAACAAACTCACGTCGAGAGTCGTTCCCGTAACCCAAAGGAACGCGAAGAACGTTCCGAGGAACGCGGCCATGAGCAGCGGCAGCGTGGTTGGAGAGGGGAAGCGCCGGAGGGAGAGGTACATCACCAAGCCGGCCAGACCGCGGGCAGCACTAGCAGGAGCGCCTCTTGGCTGGCCAGGACGCCAAAGTCTCCAATGCTGTTGATCTCCAGCTGTTGTTGTTGGTGCACGCACAGCAAAATATTTCCCCACGGATGATGATGATCGTATTGGAGGGAAAACGGTGCGTAAACACTACGCTCCCGTCCTCACAGATATCACAGGGCGGTGTGTCTGCTTCTTTCTATGCTACCTCTACAAACATTCACGGCGCAACAATAGTTGAAGATATGTACTCTAGCGAGCTGCAGCAACATCACAAGCCTCCAACGACTGCATGGCTCGTGTCGAAGCAACCTTGCGAGCAACAATCGCTTGGGAAACACAAAACGATTTTTCGGTACTTGCAGGAGGCAGCACGAGAAGGGGGGCGGGGGGGGGATCTTGCCGCAAGCTACTTCGCGATCACGTCAACATCCACTACCGACATACAGCCAACCACGTTCGTTGTCTGTCGATCCGCTGAAGAAAGATAAATAGCGTCGTACACAGAGAGAGAGCATGAGAGAGTGAGGTGCTTGTTCCCGCAATTTGGAAAATACTTGAGCAAAAAAAACAAACGCAATGAATTCGGAATGGTGCGCCCCTTTTCTCTCCCTCGCGTGCCCCCCCCCCCCCCGCTCTGTGTGTGCCAGCCTGTCTATCTGTCTGCCTGCTTCTTTGCCTGTCTGTCTCCCTCACCCCGGACGCAAAGGGCAAGCCCGCCTCGCCACAAAACCACCCGATGTAAGCCAAGTAACCGCCGATGACGGGCATCGGAAGGTACTGTACCACGCTGGCCAGCTTCAGTTTCCCGAGGACGACGAGGGCCACCCCGAGAAGACCGGTGCACGTGCACAACACAAGCGAGCTGTTGAAAGAAAAAAGGCAAAAAAAATATGGCCAGGAATGAATGAGAAAACAAATCTAGATACCAGGACACGGAAGAGAGATGATGTCGAAAATCACCAAGAACGAAGGAAGATACTACCATAGGTGACACAAGATACCACACACCCCGACCGATTCAAAGCTCCACTACTCCAAGAAGAAGAGGATGTCCACTCATATTGATACGTTTTCGAAAAAATCTCGTCGGGATGGTTCCAACGCCGCCATTTTCGTCATTGCCACTCCTTCAGCTGCGGAGCGATCTAGCCTTGAAAATCGGTCCATGGTGTGTGGTATATCGTGTCATCTACGGTAGACCCCGGCAAAACAGTGAGAATAACGGGGGGTAACCAACCTTGCAATGTTGAATACATCATCAATCCTGTTGGGTGAGTCAAGATAAATTGTACGAGCCGAGGGCTATGCCGGGCCCTGGCGACAGGACGAAATTCCGTAGCAAGAGCACTACATGTGCTACATCGACAAGCATCGCGGTGAGGCAGGCAGTCACATTTTCTTCGACAACAACAATGACTTGGCGTCACAGCCCTCCCCTCAAACATGTGAAGCAAGCGCCCCGGCTGGCTTGGTCCCGTCGAGGAGATTTGGGTGCGGGCAAAGTGACTGGGTGATCATCACGATTAGGTACGCGACGTCCCCCAAATCGTATGAACCAAAGATCCTTGGAGGTGAACGATACCATGGTACCAAATGCCTGAACAAGATCACGTGCGCCGCGTGTGTTCTCATTCACGACCTCTCCTGCACCGGCAGTGTTCGCGGAGGACGGCGATGTCGTGCAACGACCGTAGGCGACACAAGATAACACCCGCCAAGCAATCGGATCTCGAGATTACTCCGCCACAGTACCATGGCCACAGCTACTTTCCCCCCATTTTACTTTTACCACGACGTGTTCGCCCCGGGGGCATACATGCTACTCCTCGCCCGTCCACGTCCAGCTCCTTCATCCTACTCCCTCCTCCTTAACCCTACCCCCAACCATAACCCTAACCCTACCTCTAAGGACAGCACAGCGGGGGTTTCTTGCGACTCTGCGGTGGCGCCCCAGAGCTTTGGGCGGGCATGCTGCAAAGAACTCAAGTAGAAGAAAGAAAACCGCGGTACTCGCCGTGTCGCCGCTAGCCGCAACGCTTGAAAAACGACACACTCCCGCAGGGGGGGGCTCCGTACAAAATAAAACTAAAATGACATAACACTAGCAAGAGACTCACAGGTGCTGAGCATACCAGCCTCATCCACCCCTTGCTCTTGAGAAAAGGCTACCACCGACGACGAGATCGCAGACAGGAATATCAGACCGGCGTCCTGAAAGCACGAGCAAACAAAGGGCAAAAGGAGGAACGGCGACATCGTCGTGGGGGACCGAAAGCGGAGATCAGATCAGCATGGGGGGTAAGCACGGCATGAGCGAGGTGGCGTTTCTACTTATGTTGTACGGGCTTGATATTGAGGTTGCCGCTGTAAACGCCCATCGACTGAGGAACATTAACACACCAGCAGGGCGAGGGGGGTACTCATGTAAACGGATGCCGTGGTCGGTACATAGACCATTGACGTCGTGTCCCTACAATTGACGGGACGAAGGAGCGATATGTCCGGTTTTCGCCGGCCCAGGCTTCATTTACCAAGGATGAACCAGAAGCTGGTCATCACCCTTGCGTTTGCCGTGCCAAACCAGATCCGCCATGGGTTGGTTATTTGCGGGATGAACGAGGCAGCGTATCTACTACGGAGTATATTTTACGAGCTTGAGGCGATGCTGATGGTGCCGTTGTGAACACCCCATCGACTCAGGAACATGACACACAAGCAGGACTGGGGGCGGGGGATGAGTTTGAAAACCAAACTGCAGAAACATGCACCTGTAAATACCAAACACCGACTGCTGTTATCTTTCCACTCCAACCCCCGCCATGTCGTGTTTCACCTGAACCGCCCCAACGGCGAACTTGAGCCTGGAAAGGGTCCCGAAGCAGGCCATGTGAACGGCGGCGCTAAACACGACCAATTTCACTAGCCTGGCGCAAGCAAGGACGCGCACCAACACGTGGCAAAGGTTGATGGAACCATGATGGAACGGCTGACAAACTATATACACAACGGCGACAATAAAACAAGGCTTATCACTAGGGGGGCTGGGGGGCGGATGCGGTGGTACAACGTATGTCTGGCTCACGTCAAATGTGACCATGCACTTCAATTGCCAACGGGGAGGGAGGCGGGAGGCCCGCGGCAGCGGCAGTGGCCGCCTCGACTCTCCAGATGCACGAGGGTGGTGGCGGGGGATCTTCAATAGGCGCCTGACTTAGCTTTGCTGCACTCTTTTCGGCGTGATATGAATGACCTCACGGTGGTGAGGGTGACGCTGGATATGTACGTTCATTTTGCGGCATCCAAGCCCCATCCCTCGCGACACTCGCTAGGAGGGCTGGCTGGTGGGCTGCCATAGCGTGTGATCGCAATCGCACGTGGTGCGTCGCGAGGGGGGAGACGCGCCGATTGCGAGGCACCCTACCCCCCACCATTGTGGGCGTGGCACTGATCTGAAAACATGGCAAGCGCGGCGCAAGATACGTACGTGCACCACCACGTACGCAAATGCTTACCTGGGAAGATGGGGCGTAAACGCCGGATCCCTAAATATCATCGCGGCAAAACTCGCCTTCGAAAGTGGTCAAGGCAAGCGGGGGGGGGGGGGGGGGGGTAACGGGGTCAGGGCGACGGGCCAAAGAGCTAAGCCGGCGACGACAGGATAGTCTCAAGCTGAAGCGAGACGCAGGTGGTCCAAGACGACACACTTGGCGGCCTTGGAAGTATCTCTCGTACTTAACTTGGCTAGTCAGTTGCCTTGGGTGAGGTGTGCTAACTGGCCGCTGAAATTCTTAGTAGATACACATAGAGTAGTCGAAGGCGTGTGTGTGGAAGTCTTCGCAGGTCTTTGCAGTGAGAGGGAGAAAACAAGCGTAATTCAAACTACAGTACACGGCAGCTTCTCAAAACATTTGGTGATGTATGAAGAGGGGGCCAAGTGTGTACGGATCATCCCGCCCAACCCCTCCGCTTCTCCTCCGGCACTCCATACCACGACTAAAGTTCGTCTACCCCTGTGTGCATCTTACGGCAACAAGACATCCCGTGAAGACGACTCCATCTGCGGAGAACACCTTGGGGGTTCAACCGACTTGCTCTCGAGCCGACGCATGCGGGGACACCTACAAAGCAGATGCCACAAAAACGCCGACATTGGAGTGGACGGCAATCCACAAGTATCTCTCCTTCCCTCAAGGAGCGGGTTGTGTGCATGCCAAACGTTTCACAGACAGCGCAATCTCTCTCGCCTCCCATACCCCCAACCGCCCTCACCATTATGGGCGGCAAGCGGATACCATTCACCATGCCGTACGCTAAACCTCGGAGGACGGACTCCGGGAGAAGCGGTGGCCACTTTTCGTCCGCTGCTGCCACCCTCGCGGCCATGCCCGATGTCCTCGGCATCCTCCCGCCTTCGTCATCTTCGAACCCCGCCGCCCCTACCCCAGATGCTGTTCCGCTGCGGGGATCGATGCACCCATCCAATGGCGCCGGCGACGTGGTGGTTTCCCCTGCTGTCGCTGATATTTGTTTCCGCAGTATTGGGACCGTGTCCTGCCGTATGGTTTCACGGGGAAGGAGGTTTGTGCCCCCGTGTTAGGCGGGCGACCTGCAATAAATATTGTGAAGATGAAGTGTTTCGTCAAGGGAGGGAGGGAGGGGGAAACAGGGCAGCCCGCGATTCCGCGGCAAGCCACGCGCGCTCTCGCGCACGCAAAGCGGCGCGTCTACATATAAAGCCGGTGCCAACGCTACCAACGACAACCAGCTGCAGATGAAGCTGATCACATGGCAAAAGTTCCCCCCGCAGTCGCCTGGCTTCTTCGGAGCTTGAACCTACGCCCCTGCCTACCTACGATATTGGTACATCAGGTTGAATATCATTTCCCGGGGTTACCGTTTGTAGCCTACCGATAATATATCGCCTCTTGAGCTGTTGAAATCTCCGCGCATCCCCGCTTCCACCATTGACTCTTTCCAACATAGATCGCTGTCTGTGATCGAATGCCCCACAGCAACCATTTATCGTCTTTAGTTCGCAGCGGGCAAAGTAGTAGCACACTGCTTTTCTTTGCCGAGTCTGATCGCATGCACACGGATTCAAATTCAATTCAAAGGGAAAGTCTCAGAGAAATCACCGAGCAACCAGTTACTCCCATCCGGACTGGCTCTATCAATATGTGCTCCCCCAAACCCAAAATCAATTAATTAAATATATGAATCACCCCATATATTTTTTACCGTTGCGTTTAACAATACCCCCTTTTATCGTGCAAGGTTGATGTTCTGAACCAAACGAGCAGAAAAATATATATATATCATGTTGTGATGTTTTGTACGGAAAACGAGCAAAAAATTACCACCAATCGTCACGACAAACCAACGATTGACAAATGTTCGGCATGTATGTATGTCAAATCTTCGGTCACCCTCGCGAGGCTTGAGGGGGCCTGTTTTAACGTTATAAGTTACACCTGAATTGAGGACCCAGTTTTGGATGGACCTAGTTGGGTTTATGGCGAAAAGGACTTGCTTGCGTCGTTCGCCACATCGAGGTTCAGCGACACCCAAATGTGGCGGAATCGCTGCCGCGAGGTGACGTAGTGACCAACCAGGTAGAGCGATAGACCATGTGCACCACACGGGAGCTGTACAAACATACCAACACACGCACGAAGCTAAGCATCAGCAGGCGGTGCCAGCGGTCCGAGCCTCATCCTCAAGCTTGCTCTTAAACTGCCGTTTGGACTGTCTCGCTGCACACAACCGGCCGTTGACGTTTTGAGGGTGTTGGCTGTTGCTTACGTTGCGGCGACACAGCAGTTCTCTGTACTGCCAATCCCGTGCGCCTGTGCTTCGGTGCTGGTGTGCACACGCGGCTGTCACGCATGTTTCACGTATTGACCAAACCCCAAACTCGCGAACTCGCCAAGGCGCGCGACCTATCCCTAGAACCCTAATAACACATGTGAGACGCGTGCTTGAACAAAAGTCCACACTGATCTGCCGTGTACACACGCCACAATAGATATCTGTGCTATGACTACAGTAGTTCCCGTTGGTTGCCGCTCTGTGTACGTAATCGTACCCTGCTCAAGATACCGCATGTATGCCTAGAATTCCTCACCACACTTATTCGATCACGACCATTGCTCAAGTGCGAGAGTACATGTTCCGTTGGTCAAACGTTTTGGCGGTCGGGGGAAGCCCAAGAGCCCAAGGCTGTCGTATTCCGTCTCACACAAGGTGTGTGCAGCGTGCGCAACAAAAAAACATCGAAAAAAACATCTCCACCTACTCTATTTTCAAGTAGTGCGACGGAATGAATCCTTGGGGTACAACTTTCGGTGATGTGTGTACACCAATGTGCGTAGTTCCTATGCTGTTGTGTACACATCCACACGACGTACCTCGCGGCGACCATGCATGTGCAAAGAATCCACGAGAACACGCAAGAAGAAGTCACAACAAACGTTCAACCATATATCCTTTTTCACTTATATCCGTTTTTCACTTAAATATTCACTCGAAAATTAGGCAGAAATTTCTCTCGGGCTCTCTCTCATGGCGCTGCATTCGGCCTCTCTGGACAGCTCACAGGCCTGCATTTCTCCAATCTTAATTTTCCCGTTTTCCAGAGTTCCCGCTTTTCCCCGATAATTTGCCGCTTTTCCCCTTTTTTCATCTCTCTCTTTCACGTTTCTACCCTTCCTTCCTTTCGCATGCCTCTCACACGGGGCCTTCATCTTGCTCTCTCGGTTGTCACACACACATCCATTCTTCACACATCCAGCCTGCTTTTGCCCGTTGCTCTCTACTGCTGTATATCGTTCAACATCCACAACATTCAACTTTTTCCTTTTCGTTGCTTTTCAGCTAGTTCCGAAAATTGACTACCTGTCAGTCTCGTTCTGCACGGAAATGCCGTCCCTTTCATCTACTGCTGCTCTCATCCATCCACACATCACGTTTTACACTAGTCTCTCTGTCTCCCCTCACACACCATCATCAGTCTGTCTCTCCCCTCTCGCATGGTCTAGCACCATCTGTTCTGGGTCTGTCTTCGGGCGCCTCATGTTCCTTTCATTCCACTTCTTCTCTTCGGAACGCTTCTCTTCCGAATTTCCCGGGCGAGGGGCGGGGTTGCTTCTCAGTTCCGACAGTTGACATACTGTCAGTCAGCTGCTCCACTAGTTGAGACGTCGATGGACCCGTTGTGGACGACTATGGGTTGAAACGCAGGCAAGATGCGTCGTGGTGTGGCGCCCTCTCAGCTCCTCCCCCCACCTGCGTTCGTTCGTTCATTACCTTTTGACCCCAGCTTCTGCCTCTTCTTCCACATGCCGAGGAACATCTTGTTAGCGCAGACACCCCCAACCAAGCGCAAGCAGGTAGCAGAGTACACGACAGTCTCCCTCCCCCCTCTCGCGTGTCCCACATAAAATAATTGCGCAACAAGCTGTCTCGTTGGAGTTTAGGGCCGGTCTTAACGCAGGAATCAGATCTCGAAATCACATTCAGATTTGGTTGTAGGACCGGAAGATCCAATTAACTCTGTTGTTCATTGGGCAAAAAGTTCTCCCGCCGGTCTCCTCTTTAGGACTTAAATACAGGACGACCCAAAACCACATCGGGTTTTGAACAAAGGTGAAATCGCTTATTATTAATCGGATCTCGATTTGGGTGAGAACCGCAACCAAGTTCGAACATTGATATTAGCGGTCTTTTCGCATGGACGGCGCGTGCCCACCTACCCCCATCCACACGAACTCCATCCACCGTCGAGCACAGAGGAGAGAGAGAGCACACAACGCCAACCCCAAAAGAGAGGGTGACTGTGCATCGTTGTTGCACGTGAATGGCGCCGAAAAACAACGTGTGTGTGTGGGGCGTGTTGGTCTCTGGGGCAATCTCCCGTGGGTTGTCGAACCTCAAATGCACAGACGAATTGGTGGCTTTCCGTCGGACGAGGCTCGATTCAAAGTCTCGCATGCACAGGCATCGTGTCAGTACCGCACAGAGGCCATGTTACGCGTTTGGTGTGTGCTTCACAGGAGCGATGGCTCCCCATGTGGTGTGGCCACGTCACAACAGCATGTCACAACAGAAATCTGGTAGTTGGCGAGCGGCGGACCTCTCGGGTTGTTCGCGGTGGACTGCAGAGATTCGTTTCCACTTGGCAGATCTGCCGTTAAGCCACACAGACCGACAGGCCATTTCTGGTCGGATTTGGGTAGATCCGAGTCTTTTATTCTTATATCGAAATGTGATTTCGAGATATGATTTCTTCGTTTAGACCTACCCTTAATTCCGCCGCTCTTCTGATCTTAGGAAGCATACATGAACAGCAGATAGTTGTGAGCGGGGCGGCGAAAGCCGCCAGAGTACGCCCTCTCTCTCTCTTTCTGCAACAAACCGTTTTACATACTTTTTACTAAGTTGCTTGCGCTTATCGCTTATCTTGGAATCGATCTACTGAGCGGGGCGGCGACAGCCGCCAGAGTACGCCCTCTCTCTCTCGTATTTGCGCACTACGGTGAGCCTGTTATCATTTCTTTTGCTACCGCTGGCTAATCGCGTACCTTGGAATCGATCTACTGAGCGAGGCGGCGAAAGTCGCCAGCCCACCTTGTATTTTTGTTCCAGGCACCTGTTGCCCCAACTTTCCTCAAAGACCACGAAAATTCCAGTCAATGATTGCATGTTCTGGTGGATGCCGTGCACATATATGTGGTCGCCGTAAGATGCGTCATGTGGATGTGAACACAACAGCACAGGGACTAAGGACGTGTAGCGTATATTCATATCGCATGTTCTTCTGCATCTACATTGTTTGTTTTCATGCATCGTACACAAATGGTGTGCCAATGAAAGTCTGGGTGAAGTGCGGCCCGGGTCAGTAGGAGACGGCAGGCATTGTCTTATTGCGTTCAAAGAAGAAGGAAACAAACACCGTTTGAAACAACCAATCAATGACGAATCATAACAACCATCGAATACGTTACGTACAGTAGATTTGCACCGAATGTTCACCTTTTCACTTTTCACCCATCACAACCAACACCCCAACCAACCTCTTTTGCCACCACCTCCCCCTCCACTGCTGCCCTAAACATCGGATCACAATCCCCACCCAAACATGAATGATGAACGGCTACTGCCACCATCACATATCATGCACCATACGACACAAACAGTATGGTCTGAGGACGCGGGTGGGTATGGATGAATGGCTGCTGTTGCGGCGCAAGACACAAAAACAAGTACAGCAGTCG